GTCTCGCCTTCCGGGTTGGAGCCCACGTGACTCACCTTGTGCTTGGCTCGAGACTTTACAGGATATGGCTCGCAACCGACACCAGTGGCGCGTGTGCTGCCGTCTCCTAATCGGATTGTCTGTTTAAAGTGTGTTTGGTGCTGAGTTATCTGCGGGGTAATGGCTGATTATGACGCGTGGCAGTGAAAGCCGCAAGGAAGCTGTCTCGCCGATGCCGCCTTATCTTTGCACGATAGCCAGCTGTTTGTGACGGTATGTTGTCTACACAAGGTGTAGGCGCCTTGACCCTGAATGTTTGCTTAGGGCATTAAGGTTTTCAGGTAAGTCCCCCTTCTCTCCCTCTTCTTATTCTTTATTTCATAGGTCCTCATGGTTGTATGGCAGCGAAGCATCAGTTCAAATGGCTGATGTACTGCTGTTGATGATGATGATGATGATGAGCTATAGCATTAATGCCGAAAATGTCACTCTTTGGGTCCATAAAGTCTACTATAATTAAACGTGACCGAACTACTACTGCGATGCGGAAGCTTGGAATAAAACTCCGATTCACAAAGGCGGGAGCAGGTATGAGCCCTCAAACTACCGCCCAGTATCTCTTGTCCATGTACTGTTCAAGTTAATGGAAGCCATCGTTGGCGATGCGTTGTTGTGTTAACTAGCAAACGGTAACATTAATGCTCCCAAGCAGCAGGGCTTTCGTTGACAGCGATCGTGCACAACGAATTTATTTATCGCACGGAGTAGCTGACCCGCGTTAGCTGACGCTGGAGAGGCTGTTGATTTGACCTACTTGAATTTGTCTAAGATATTCGATTGTTTGGCCTATCGGATTCTCCTTTCTAAGTTTCAATATTACGGGATCGATGAGACACTTGTGCGGGATCGCCAATTTCCTCGCAACGATAATGAACAGAGTTCGTAGTTCTTTATCTGACCCCATAACAGTAAAGCCCGATGTGTCTCAGGGCTCACTGTTAGAGCCACGGTTGTTTTTGTCGTCTATTAAGGACCTTGCAGACAATCGAATCGAATTTCCTATTGTGTGCTGACAACATTGAGATATGACGCAGGGTTCCGGCGGATGCCAAACACAATTTGTGTCAGTGTGACCTAGATAGGGTATATCAGTGATTAATCGTAAGGCTGCCACAGTTCAACGTGAGCAAATACAATGTACTCTTCATACAACACCTGAATACCTATTCCTACAAGCTGGGAACGCAAGTACTGAAGCGATCATTCGTCGTACGCGACCCGGGCGTGCTGGTTAAAGATAACTTAGATTGTTACCAGCACTCTGAAAAGGCATCGAAAACTGCCACCCAACACGTCGGCCTCTTACGACGGGCGTTCGGGCCAATAGACATCTCTATTTTTAGACAGATGCACAGCGCGTATGTTCGACCGATACCGAATACCCAATTCAAGCCTGGCACACATGGCTGAAGTACGATCTTAATGCACTGGATCAACCTCAAGGTCGGGCTTCTAAATACGTCATTTGAATGCGACACCATCCGTAGGACCAGAGGTTGAAACGTTTGGGAGTATTCAGTGGGCACTATCCCCAAATACTGGCGTATTTGATTTTACACAACCTAAACCATGTGTGCTGCTCCTTACTGCACCAGAAGTCACCCCTTGAAAGAAGCAGAACAGTACAGCCGTTTATCGCGAAGTAGAAATTTCTTCTCCATTCGTGTGTATTAACCATGGAACGCTCTTCCCGAATCGACTGCTTTTGCATCTACAATAGCCACATTTAAAAGTCCGTTGGATGACGTAATCCGCCACTAACGTTTTATTACTTGACGCTACTCTCCATCCCACTCCCGGGAAATATCTTGAGTTTATTTTTTCGCCCATTGAAACTATGGAAACGCTCGGAGTGCAGGGTTACTGCATTACCTATGGTAAGTCGATTCTTTCGATATTAGAACTACTAACTGCATTAATTTCATTAACGTTTTTCGATGATCCACCAGACCACCCAATAGGTCTTATAAAGCAGTGCTTATTAACCCGTACAAATGCATTGTTCATTGAATCTGCCTACGAAATCAAAGGCATCGGTGGAATCCGGTGGGGGGATCCCAGGAGAAGTTTAAGCGCAATCAACGAATTAGACCCACTGTCTGTATATCCAAGACAGTTGAAATCCTTACTTTCGACCAAGTTCCTATCGTCACGTTAACAAGAGATTCGTTGAGATCGTTTACTTGCGTCGTCAGCTAAGTTTTCGCTGTCGTTCAAGAATTATATAACTTCTGAAAGGACATAAATAACGATGTACGTTTATTTAAAAACAGTGTTTCGACAAGTTCCCGTATATACTTCATTTTAGCCATCGTAACATTTGTATTATATGGTTACTGTTGTCTTAATGAGGTTCGAGCCTCACTCGCCGGAAGCAAACCTTCCAAATCGAAGATCAGTCAGCAGGAAAAAGTGATATCATTGGTGATGCATTACAGGGTTGCGCAATGTATCCTGTTCAGCACCTGGTCTATGAGACAATCTCTTCCTGCAATGACAAATGGGAGAGCTTGCTGACTTGCTGATGATATCAGGATTGTGTGCACTGGTCACATACACTTAAAATAAAGGTTGTAGTGGCTCAACAAAGTTTGCGTGCCGGAGGCTCCATGAATTTCTAGAAGAGCAACCCTCACGTTATGAGCTATAAATTCACAGTTAGATCGAAAATAGCTGTTTCACAATAAGTTATTTCATTACTGATGATTCAAATGGTGACATAAATATTCATCACCACTCTTCATTGAAAGTTTAGATATTATAGTGTCCGAGCACGGTTGAACTAGTGAGAAAGGTATCAGCTGTTTTGAACAACAGGTAGTATACTATGGTGCCGAACGAAACCTAAAATACTGCATCAATACTAGTTTAAGAGTGTACGACAGACGTGTAGCTGAATTTATACAACGGTACTAATCAAAAGATAAGTGCCCGCGGTTCAACTACCCTGCCTTATGAGGAGAAGCGCGAAGCGGTAAAAACAGATTCTTTGTGTGTCTGTGTTTGAATTAGAAACGCTCGACAACAGATAAACGCCTGATACTAAGGCAAACATTTTTAAAACCGCCACCATATAATCAGTGAAAGAGGAGGCCATCATCGAAGATAGCCCTTTATCACACTTGACCAGGATGCACATATTTTGGTATGGACCCAGTATCTAGGACCTTTGAGAATCACCTCTTATGTTGGTGCCGAGTATGTGAGCTAAGGGTTAATATGTTATCTAGTACCACGAGAAATTACTCAGCTTTAATCTTAAAGATCAGTAAAGACATGGAGGTAGGACTGATTGCATCGAGAGATTTTGGAGTCCAACAAACAGAAAAGAGAAATAACCAGCAAATCAACACTTCCAACAGGGAAGAACCACACCCTGTTTTACTATGACACATCACCTGTGGATATATATCAAACAACTCAATCGCGCCTGTGTAGGACAGCTTTTAGCTTAAGACATCCGCTTCACCCCCTGCATCTTATTCCCTACCCATGGTTCTTGACCATAAGTGCATTTAAGTAAGGCACTTCGGTAAACATTGGTCGACAATGCTATCGGAGCTGCGGAATCCCACGTTACGTCATATGCTCTGTCCATACAATTTACTGCACACGAAGACAACAACAGACACTACAACGTGTAAGTCTTCATCTTAATATTCTTTACACCTTTGCTGGTGATTCACCTTGCCCTCTTACCCCTTACCAGATGACACAATCTTCCCCAGCGACATTACGTGTGACTTACTCTAGCTAACCGTCCATGAAATGTTTGATAAGAGGTTGATGTGTCACCACTTCGCTCTCCTCGCGTAATAACATCAATTTGGATTCCCCCGTTTATGACTTCACACTGGCTACACAAATTCGTCTTATAACCATGCGTTCCCACTGTTTCTAAGTAACGCCAACTCCACTGCTGGTCGAATTGTAAAATTATTCGAATTTCAAGATAAGTAAATCTATGGTTTTTATTAATAAATTCTATATAAACTATCGCTCCCTTCGACGCACGATTGTCTGCAACGTAGTGCCCCTACTAGCGGTTACCAACTCTTCTGTTACCAGAGATATCTCTCCGTTGAATTACGGTGTACATCGATTAGTATTTCACTTTGGAAATCAGTGTTGCGACAAGGGACTTTATGGCACACATAACTGAACACTTATAAATTTTGAGAATTTGATTCATTCACACATTCATTTTTGCGATGCAAAGATGATAAGAGTGCTTTATCCTCGCAACTATTAGCACGTGAACGTTGTTGGTAAATTAAACTTATCAAAGCAATAACCCCTTTAATGGATATTTTTGTTGTATTTCAGACCATCCAAGTTAAATAGCATCATAAAGATAAAAGCTCATCTATGGATAGGGAGTTTCTCTCATTCCACAGTCTAACTGGATCATCGACAGCAATAGTGTTGCTTGAAATAGCTTGAATGGGAGAAAGTACACGATCCGCACAGGTTATTATTTGCTGCCAAATACCAGTTATGTTTATTTGCTACGTGCGCTTCTTCCGGTAGTACACACTCAATGTTATTTACGTTCAGGTGCGCGGAAGTATGGATTGGCGTAGCTGGTAATAATAATAGTCGCAGAAGTGGTTATTATTCATTGCGTAGAGGTGATTTAGCACCAAGGCTTTCCATTTGCGGTCTGAAAGCTGACGTCTGAGGTTGACTTTGAAAACAGAATACAAAGTTATAATGGGATGATGCTTCGGGTTAGCACACTCTGGTCAGGAATGGGGCTCAGTAAGCGCTACGTCTGCCGTTTCAATGCGTATTCGGGAACGCTTTTATTTATTTTTAATCGTTTTCCTATGCTTTAACACAGTAAATACATGGAAATTCTTTTGTCGAATTGTTGCTCGTTTATGTCAAGGGTTCGGTTAATTGCAATCGTCCAGAGTCAGGAGACGCTTTTAGAATTAACAAAATAAAACGTAGCCTACCGATTGATACGTGCCTTGAAGTTCCAAAAATGAAGTATACCAAAGGCGGGAACAGAGAAGTATACAGTCCATGAACCGGTGGTAAGGTTGCCAAAAGGGCATACGCCATTCCTGAAAGGAAACATCGATGTGTGCACTAATGTATTCAGCTAGAGAATGCAGCAAATACAGATATCAGAATATACGTTGCAAAATAACAATAGCTACATACATCACGTCGGTTGAACGTGGCCACTTAATCTAGTCAGGTTTCAACTACAGACACACGATGGGAAGAATTTAATTAACATCTGGCTGCAATGCTTTCAACTGCCGCATTGGTTTTACTATCGCTGCAGACGGACTGTCTAAGCCTACCGTACTGATTAGCTAGTTGAATTCTGTACCTTGTGGCCGATTCATCACGATGTCCCTAGCTACATTTCACTGAGTGGTTGAAACACAGCGACTCTCTTCTCATTGGTTGTGTACAATCCGGAGGCTTAAAATTGCTTATTCTGTGTCTTGAGTCTGTGACCTCCTGGTTAAGCACAGATATACATGTTGCATTTTCTTGTTGCTTTCTTGATAAAACTGTGCCTATTGATGAGCATCGGGCCATAGAAGCACCACGAGTTGCACTTCTTAATCAAATGAAGTTGGATAGAAAATAAACCCTCACCTCTCTTCTGCATGCATTACTTTTACTTGCTTGCCTAGATGCGGTTAACAAGACCAATTTCGGGTATTGTTAGTGTTCATGGAATACTGATCAAGAAGTCCAGTAATCATTTGAAAACGGCCAGACAACTAGTCCGCTATACATGGGCATTGTACCTTGAGATTTCGTAACACTCCGTGGATAATTGTTTGCTGCGTACAGCACTTGCGAAAGCATTTACTAGATCATTTGCAGGAGTCCTTCGTGGGTGGAGAACATACATCAGCATGAGTATCGTAAAGTTTAAGGTGCGTCGTGCGTAGAAGGATGTCTGATCATCGTGTCGAGTCTACGAAAACAGTTGCCAACCGCTTCGCGCTTAAAAAATACACACACATGATTCGAATTCGGATGAACGATGCCAGTATGGCCACCGAGTTCAGACACTGTGATAGCTGCTTTTTAGTGTCTAAGTGATCATCAAGGGCTACCTTCCAGTGCTGCGCAAGCGCTTTTCGTGTCAGTTCGGTTCCAGGTACATATCAAGCTAAAGTCATCCGTTAAAGAACACAGAGTGGCAGCCGCGCCAGCAGGCGGTCCAGTACAGTATTGACCACACACTAAGCAGAAATAGATCAAAATCTATGCAAAATTTTTGTGAGATCTAGCAAGTGCTAACATCAATAAGTTCATCTGTCAGCCCAATGCGGCCTCATGCGACTGCAGCTGGATTATGCGTAGAAAGTATCACGTCTGATGTGAACTACTTCTGGCCAGAACTGAATCAGTTTTACTGCGATCTGTTAACGTTTACCTTTGGATAAGATGGATAATAGATGGACAAGGTTGCAGTTCAGAGGAACTACCTCCGCAGCATCTGCAAACGTTCATCTTAAACATCAAGCCAGCTAGAAGAAGATTAAGAAGGAAATATTCTTCAAAACCTAACTAGTTCACCAAGTGAACTTCAACGAAGGATATCGAATCAGTTATAGAAGATATCGTCTATTAAACCAGGCTCTTGCTTATTCCGAACTTACTCGGCTTGCCAATGTTGATGATTTAATATCAGTACTAAAATTGCAACCTTGGTAACTAAAACACCATAGTTGAAACTGGTTATAAGAAGACGGGGATTTGGTGATACAACAGTTGTACTTTATTTTCTACCGAGTACCGTCAAGTTAAAAAAGCAATGTGGACTTTACCTCAGTCTAGTTACCGGCATCACTTGTACGTTCAATGACTTTCTTTTTCGCTTAGGCGTCCTTCAATCCCCACCCGTCTCTCTATAGTTAAGTCTGCAAACAGCACGGTTGAAAAAATATAACATACGACTGATCCAAGGCAAATAGATGAAGTGAACCTTAACATACACAGCAGAGACCAATGGGCAGTCCACGACAACCCGGGATGCATGAATTATTGTTAAGAGATCACATGGTGTACCATTAGTAATCCGAGCCAATTTTCCCATTCGACGTCAAAGTCCTTAAAAGCGAAGCAAGATGACAACTTAAGCCAGTGGAAGTTCATATGTGACATCTAAGGCGTGATAATTAGGCCCACCAATCTGATACGTGCCACCCGTCGTCCAAACTCAAAGCTCTACGGTGAATCAAAACTTCGCCCAGTTCAACTGACTTCCACCGGTTAAGCAGTTCCGTTGTCAACAGCTGGTCTCCGGCTTAGATCCTCTTCCGTCCGCATCTCTTCCCACATTCCGTGAAGTGAGTGCAAAGAGAAGTAGGGCTTGATAGAAGACCTGAAGGAATCCGCAGCCAGTAACATCCTTGTTCACGGAGGACATGATTGAGGGGCAAATGCTCTCCAGTGCCCAGGAGCGATGTTGCTGGATCTACCATAACCTGTCCTTGGAAACGTCACAGCGGAATTGATCTCGAAGCTACACAGATCCCTAAGTTACAAAGGATGTGGACCGAGGGTTGTGAAGGTGGTGCTTAAATTCAGACTAATGTCAACAAGGCCACAAGAAAGCAGGAACGCGCAATGCAGTAGACAACCTTTTGAGCTCTGGCTCAGGGCTGTGTCCACCAAAAAATCAGACGACATGAGAAGTTTGATCGAACCACGTCTGCCAACGCTTTGAATAACATTAGTCCAGAGATGGACTCACGTCTGATATTCGCTTTGGAAAGGGTCTTGCAACTTCAATACGACCATATTCGCATCCCAGCTGACCTCAAGGTTCACCATCTGGAAGCTCCAACGCCTCCTATTGCGCGGTCCGGAGTCAACCTGAATGAGTTTATTGCAAACATACCGTTCATCAGCCATGTCATTTGGTCCACTAGACTAGGGACCGGAAACCAGTTCTCAATGCTTGATTTAGTGCTTAAGAACAAAGAGCCCATACATGATAAGCTAAAATTAGACAGTGCCATAGATGGAATTTCGCACGTCCCCACACATTATGGTTGCATGTAACCAATAGTATCCGCGCGCACATTTACGTGGTACAAATAAGCAACCACCACAACATACCAACTGGACTGATCAGAGAAGCCCCTGGAAGTTTTGCACGAGAGTTCCATTGATAACATCTGGACGAAGTTTGTTGACAGGTTCAGCAGCCTGGTCACATCCCTGTCAGAACACAGAACACTTGTTTCCCAAAGAACACGCTACTTCATGTGGCGAAGAACTCGAAAATTCACAACAGTGGGGATGAAGCTTGGAGTGCGTACAGAGCAAACCGCTATACTGACACCTGGAGCAGTACTTTGGTGCAGCGTAGTACTGTACAATCCTTGTCCGTGTGAACAAGTTAGTACACTAGCATGCCTAGCGGAAAGGTTTTGCGCATGTTGTAAACTAATGTGCATATATGTGAAAAGCCTCTAGAAGACAACGCGTGGCACGCCCCCATTCAACTCAACAGACGGAAAGGTGCAAAGCGACGAGGATGTGGCCAACGCTGTACGACTACAATAGGCTCCAATATTCCGACGTGCCACCAGCTTGTGTCACATACTTGTCCAGTCCACCAGACGTTAAAACTTATCAACGTTAGTACAGGAAGCATGATGAGGAAACTGCTATGGGTGTGCCCCCTTGTTCTCTTAGATTTGATAAAACTCACCTGAAAACGCTGGAGTTGGCCTCTGCGAGACTAGCCGAGCCATAATCTCTATTCCATCAGGGTATTTACAGAAGCACAAGCCCATATCATTCAGATTCAGGGCATCACTACCACCGACTTTAAAGGGTCTCAGTACAGTAGTTCAGAAAAAGTAAACTGCCGCTCATTGATTCTCCTGTCAGTGCTCTCAAAGACAGTGCAGTCTATCACTGCGGAGGCACTAATAAATTAGATGGGAGGATCCAAAATCGTTACACCGGAGTATCACAACTTTCAACAAACATCTGTCATGTGTCAGCAACATACTGATTACGCATGGCAGTTAGACCAAAACGGTCGATAGTGCGTCAGGAAACGATGTCATTTCTCTAGCCTCAGAGCATTCGACAGCCTAGTGCAGTGCGTCCTTCTTCAATGCTTCATATCTATGGATTTAGGAACGGATGAATGGATCCGAAACTGCGTTCTTCAGAGGTGGATGGATTTGTGCAGAGCCCATTGTCTGATCCGATTTTGAATGCGGCGTTACAAAAGGATCAGTGTTGCGGTTGTTCCTGGTGTTCCCTAGTGCTCTCGTGTTTGTCATCAAGTCGAATATCATAACTTCATCGATTCCATCAAAATATAATCGGAGAGCGGTAGTCAGGACTTGCACGGTCTACTGCAATGAGACCTAGACTATGCTGCTGAATGTTCACCGATATAGCATTTTGTGTTTGCCGCGGTAAGTGCAGTGCTTCGTCTGTATCATTAAGCCCATTGCATGTATTACCTCACAACAGTTCGACCTTGGTGTAGTGATTCAAAATTATCTGCTCGAAGTAGAATTGTGTGTGAAAAACCGGGATCTGATATGTTGGCCTCATACAGACGGTCCGGGCGGTTGAAATATTCCGACAAATGATCACCAACTACGTGAGGTTCTATGTGGCGTACGCAATGATGTCCTGACAATCCTGGCTAAGGCGTAATTTAGCTGCAGTGAAGAACCCACACCGAAATGTAACTAAAAATGCTAAAGGCCTATTACATCTGCCATACAAACTGTGACTGAAAATCCTCGGGTGACCTCGTGCTTACGGAAGATATACGGAAACCGCGATTAGACATTACAATGTTTATTTTCCAAACTTGTCCAAAGATATCAACCCTGTCATGCGGTTATAACCAGTGAACCCAATCCAAACCTTTGTTCCATCCTTCCCCTTGAGTGAACTTTCCTATGAACTTCAGTTAACCCTTCAAAGACCCGCCACTTTGGCCTACACTCGTCTTCTACATCGATTATTGTTTGTTGGGTCAATGTTCCGCACCGGTTAAGATTATCCGTCTGCCCCATCCTCAACGCCAATTCATTTGTGACCCCAA